AGTTTCATTGAAATCCAAAGAGTGGTTCTTCAAATATCAGTGGAACAGTCATGGAACAGCTTGAAATCAGTTAATTATCATTCAAATTAGATAATTAATATTCATAAATTTTTACCCAAAACTAATCAAATCTGCGCACTAGTTCAGAGCATCCATGTGCCAAGTTTCATCAAAATCCAATGAGTGGTTCTTCAGATATCAGTGGAACAGTCTTGGAACAGCTAAAAATCAGCTAATTATCATGCAAATTAGGTAATTAATATTCATAGATTTTTACCAAAACCTAATCAACTCTGCGCATTATCCCAGAGCATCTATGTACCAAGTTTCACCAAAATTTGCTTAGTGGTTCTTGAGATAACGGTGGAACAAAAAAAGTGACATACATACATACATACATACATACAGACATACATACAGACATACAGACAGATTAACTGCAAAGACTCCCCTTTGTGCTTCGCACACGGGAGTCAAAAAGGTTGTATGTTTTACATTGCATGAGACCCATGTCACCTGGTAACATTTCTACACTAAATTGCCATTTTCATGAAATCATGTCATGTTGATATGGATCCAACTATGATCACTTTAATAAATTTGATACTTTTTTTTTGTAGTAAATCAATCATGATGGTTGGTAGAAATCAATGTTTCTTGTACTTGGACATGGTAAGTCATGTGACAGGATGTTGACATGGTAAGTCATGTGACAGGATGTTGACAACTATATTACAAGACCATCCCTGTTGTGTTGTGATCTGTAGCTTCAAAGAACTTTATAGAAGACTTCAATAAATGTATGGTATATAGTATAAAAAAAAAAAACAGATCAAAACTGTGTCACTAACACATCTGTAAATGCATTAATTAATTAATTAATTAGTTGTAATTTCACTTTTTTCCTTCAGAAGTAAACTCTGCTAAATCCAAATAAACAAGTGAAATAACAATATACCGGGGTACTGTGGAATACTTTATTTTCGCTGGAATTAATTTTCGCTGAAATAGCTTTTTGGGCGTTTTGTATGGAATTTATTTTCACTGATTTTTGATGAGTTTAATGTGAAATATAGGAAAAAATATATATTTGCATCCCTTCAGCGAAATTAAATTCCAAGCGAAAATAAAGTATTCTACAGTAACTCATTGTTTTTCTGGCAAATTCCTGAACTTAAAACCTAGTGAATATGCACAAAATAGTGCAAATAAATGGTTTACAGTATGCACGTTGTCACAAGAGCGCATAACCGTGAATCAAAACAAGTATTATATGAAAAATAAAAGGATATTCTTCATCTTCTTCTCCATCAGAGAGCTCAGCGTACTGAGCAAGCAGCGCTTCTTTTCTTTTCTTCTCTTCTGCACTCACTTCTTTCTTAGTTACAGATGAAGTATGTTTCTCCAACAGCGCAGTAAAAGCCTGCTCCTTTGCTTCTTTCTCTGTAAAAATAAAATTACACCTACCATAATTTATTCCAAAGTGAGACACAACTACCGGCAGTTTTTTTGGCATAACTTCTACTTGGCACCAGTTTTATAGCATTTTTTCTTATTTTCAAGCAAACAATAAGACTTATACGCCAGTCTACATTGTTTTGGTCGGTGTCTAATTTTCAGGCCTGTATTTCTACAACAGTTAAATAGAAAATAATATATGCATTACCGAGTGCTTTTGCTTCTTCATTTTTAATGATTGCCAACTTTTGACTTTCATCCCATTTTTTTAAAATCTCTTCACACGTTTCTTGTACACTCTCCTCCTGTATACATTGAACACAAAAAGGTCATTGCACTTATTATCATGGCATGCAACTAATGTATGTACACTACTAAAATCAGTCGTGTAGACAAAATTGTGTCATAATAGAAATCATTTAAGCATTTTTATAGTTTTTGGTAGCTAATTTGCATAATTTTTGACAGATGGACTTTTCATAAACAAATTTCCATCTACACCCATCAAGGCAGCTACAATCATGTAAAATAATTTCAGCGTTTTTTTTTCTGAGAAGTTGCCCACATTCATCCAGTCAGACAGACAGACAGCTATAGATGGCTTTCCGGTCCAGTCCATTTTTGATGTTTTGACCAAAAACAAGGTTTGATTTTTAATTTTCACGTCAAAATATTAATCTTCATAAATTAAACTATAAGAGCCCAAAATTCATAGAAATAATTGACTTATTGAGCTGCCGAAACTGAGTGAAATAAATTTGAATTGTACATAATTTCAGCATGCAACATGTTTATCGTTATTATACAGTGATTATTGTTGTGGCATATTGTAGTACTTACTGCCTCTTCAAAATGTTTTAAAATATTGTATCATAAAAGGTAATATTACCTTCCATGGGTGTAGAGCCATAAATGGGAAGGGTCAAGATTTTCTATTTTTTAACTTCCATGCTACATCCCACATCACTGAAGTGGGAAAGGGGTCAATCATCAGAAATCATGGGGTGGCTGGAAGAGTGTCACTAGCGCAATTTTTTTTTGTGTTGTCTTATATACAATTTGTTATTTACATTGAATGTGCCAAAATTTGGTCCTGCTACACTTTACATGCATTTTTCCCTATCTGTGTCCAGTTTGATTCTTTTTTAAACAAATCTTCCAGTCACCCACCCATGATTTCAAACAATCGACCCCTGAATGCACAGGTGCCTGGTACCTTTCGTTGATAATGAATGAAAACAAATAAAATGTAAACACGATAAATATCCGTCTCTACTCATCATTAAATAAAGAAATTCAATGGTGAGTGGGGACGGATATTTATTGTGTGGCAAATGTTTAATTGTTCTTAATATCAGGGACAGGCATCCCGAGTTGTGTAATTGGCTCTACAGGGGATACTCACGGCGATTTCGGAGAGAATTCCAACCAATGCGTCTGTTTTATCGTCATAACTTGAATCGTCGGTCTCCAAGATACCTGTAATGTACGTCCCGAATACTTCTTGGTCGATTTCGAGACGGGCTAATTTATCGCTTAGCCAGACATCAAAGCCGTCCATGTCCATGGCCGCCGCCATCTTGATTGTGGTAGATTGTGCACTGTTTGTTTCCTCTTGGGGTTACTCGAGGTCAGCAAAACGGTGATGTCACGATATTTCAATATCAACGCAGGCATCCATTACTTGTACCATCATATCGTGTCATTTTAAACTTGTTCACTTTTTAATTAACAATAAAATTGTGCTGAAATGCAGCTTCGTCAGCTTTGAATCAATGAATCTAGCAATGGCTTCTTTAAACTGGGTAAAAATAATTTACTTGGGAAAGCAAGAAAGTTTTTTATTAAGGCATTCTGGCATATATAATTAAATTTTCGTTCAGATTGTTTTCAGCCTGCACCTGGATAATCACTGATTCTGAAAGACATCTCAAATACTAATTTTAATGCAAACCACTAAATAAACATTATTAGAAATGAAAGATCAATATCTACAACATGTGCATCCAAAACAAACAAATAAACAAACAAATAAATAAAT